TTTAAGTAAAGTTTAAAAAATATAAATATATAATTATTTTTGAAATTTACTTAAAATCTATTTAAAAATTAATTTAAAAATCTTTTTCTAGTAAAATTTAAAATTTATAAAAAAATAATTCACTTTTTCACAACAGATAATTTTTAAGCTCCAAACGCCCAAGGAGGAAACTTTGCCCTTAAGGTTGGTGATACAAGATTAATCCCAAATGGAGTGCTAAAAACTGAAGTAATATGATGATTGAATCGAACCAAAATCCATTTGATTAAAATTTGGTCAAACTGCACTTGAATCAGATTTCATTCCATCTGAAAAATAAAAAATCAACATAATTAATTTAGTTAATGATTTTAATATCTAAACAAACTAAACAAAACTAACTAGGTAATTAGTTAATTAGGAATATAATTTCTCTATTTTCAATTTTTTTTACTCTCTCATTTACACGGATGTTATTATTATATCTTTAATTATTAATATTATATTTTTTATTTTAATTAATTACTATATTTTTTTAATTTATTAAGAAAATAAAAAATATAATATTTTTGAAAAAATAACATGAAAATATAATAAACAATTATATTAAAATAATATAATATTAATTATTTATAATATGACAATAACTCAACCCTTTTAATCCTTGTTAATTATGTTAATAAAAATCTAAATAAAGTGAGATGGGAGTGTAAAATCAACATTTTTTCTCTTTGGCTCTCTTCTTTGTTCATTTATTTTATTAGAAAGTCATAAGTAGTGACAATTTTATAGATTACTGGGAGTTTGATTGTATTTAGGTTGATTGAAATATGACCTTTTAGTAATTAATTTTATGAATATTTGTAGGGTTTTTTCTTTTTTGTTAATAAGTGGTACACATTATTAAAAGGTAGAATACATATAAATTAATGATTTTAAATTAATAATTAAATCCTCAAACTCCTGAAATTATAACTTTTAAACCTTTAAATTAAAATTTTTGAATAATTAAAAAATTAAACAATTAAGCTTGAATGACATTGTGATTATTAAAATTTAAAATACATAATAGCCTAATAAGTTGGTATTTTTTATTCAAATTTTAAAATTATTCACTTTGATTTAATTTTAAATTTTACCAGATCTTTGATCATGTCCTATATTATAAAAAATAAAATATAAAAATATTACAAATAAACTTGACTTTAACCATGCAAGAGGCATGTTAAATATTAGACATTACAAAGACTTAAAAAATGATAACTAAAGTAAAAACTAACTTGGTGGCCTCCTTGATATCGAGCTTACCTCTCCCTTCTTCCGATAATCTTGATATTATAGTCTGTGATGGTATGAATTGTAAAATAAGAATCTTTAAAATAAATTTAGGTGATCATAAATATTGAAGAGTTATTTTTACATTAACAAAAGTTAATCAATATTAATATTTATTTTGTATAAGGCATAAAAGAATTTGATAAAAACAAATAAATTTTTATGAAGTTAGTGCATATTAGTTTTAATTTTTAAAAATAATTAGATTTTTAATTTATATTTAGAAATTAAAAT